ACAACTTAAAACATTAAACAGGATTAGGCCCATTAACAAAGGCCCAGTACAGGACAACTTAAACWTAAGTRTAGGCTAMTAASAACTCTTATCAGCCGAATACTCATACATACAAAGACTTCAATCCAACAACTTCTAATAATTTTTTTTGATTGCTCATAAAAAAAAGGCAAATTATCCAAACAACTCGTGTAATCTATCACAACAAGGACCCATTCATATATGACTCATGTCCTTTTTCCAACCTTGCCCCTGGAGTTACTTGCCTGCCAGAAAAAAAAAATCAAATCCCTAATCGCAAGGCATACAATAGACTACAGGATGCACAAGTCCCAAGTCCCCCCCCCAGACAGCCACATTGTCCCAATCTTAAGGTATTTCAGGAATCTCCTTCAACTGGGAGAGAAAATGGCCACTGTGGTGTGGCACTTCCAAGTCCCAAGTCCCAAGTCCCCCCCCCCCAGACAGCCACATTGTCCAGATCTACCTCTCAAACTAGACCATATTCATGAACTGGTGCAGCTGCCAATATAAATATACAAACTAGTTCTAAAATCACTAATCTTACTGCTCAACACTCAATAACCCTATTTTCCAAACAAACAAACACTTCCTTCTGATAATTTTTCTTACCATGAAAAAAATGAAAAACCTAATTTCCCATCCATCCCTGACTCACCCCAGCAGAGTGGGTTAGGGTTGGCTTGGTTCAACAGGTCAAAATCAGATATGACCAAAGCAAACCCTAAGTCATTGCAATCCCTGGTTTTAGCTGATTGAGAAGCAGACGTGGTAACTGAAATATTAACATTAGTGTAATTCAAGAATAAAACTACAGGATGGAAGTAAACTTACAGCAGGCCCCCCATTACTATGGTCAGCTCTACCATTAGCAGCTGCTGCTGCAGAATTTGGAGCCTCAGCTTTCCGTTTTCTTTCGGCTGCAAAGACATTCAGTTCAAAGTCAAACAAATGGTATCCAAAAGACAGTTTTCTCTTTTTTTTATCAGCAACTGAAAAAATATTTAATTAATGAAAAGAGAATATTCAATCGTAAGAGCCCTTCATAGGCTAGCCTATCCATCAAATATAATATAACTATATTGTTCAGTTTACAATGGATTAACCAGCCCCCAGTACAGGTCATTCCTATCAACCCCCATCTTGGCTAGTCCATCAGCCATTTGCAGATCTGGGTGCTCAAGTAATTGAGCAATTCATTTCAGACACTAGGAACTTTCTCTCTCTAAAAACATATCTGAATCTCCATACCCCTGTCTTGTCACCCTTCAACCAAAAGACATCAATACTGGTACCATTATTAACCATTTTTACCCATATTAAAAAATAAAATTTTAGATTTGTTAGGATTTGGATCCAATAATGCAAATATGAAATAGGTTTCTTTCCAAGTTTTTATGACAATGTCTTACAATTGCAAAGGCAATCAGCAAAGAAGCTATTCTGGGCCCCATATACCCAACTACAGAAACTCTAAAAGAGTACCAGACCAAGCATTAAAAAATGGAGGTTAAAACAATTAGTTCATCCAAGAACTTCCCCTAGTTGCTTTGAATAGGAACTTTTGGCAGCTTTGTATTCAACATATCAGACTGATATTTTAACTGCATTCCATTACCAAGCAGCCATGGTAGGAAGTACTGGAAACATTTAAAAAGTACTACAATTTCGGTTAACCATTAGAATGGTTTTCCTTGTCTCCATTGGAATCCATTTATTGATACCAATGCAGTGTCTACTTCCTGACCTACTTTTTAATGAATGATGATGTCTACTAGACACAAACAAAAATTTTCATAGAAACACAGTTACCTTTCTCTTCTTGCTTCTTTTTTTTCTCTCTTGGAATGTAGGTTCCATCTGCTTTTGCTACACAATCAGATTTTGTTTTTGCATATTGTATCCGCTGAACCAAGTAAACCATGTTACCATCAACAGTGATTTCAAACATAAAGACACAAAGTAATGAATACTCACCGAACACCATGGAATATAAGTAAAAAAATGCAGTGCATTTAAAGAGGTATTTATATCGAGGTACAAGCATAGTTTACAAGGTGCTGAGGCAAGGTGGCAATGGGATTTTTTTTTTTTTAAAAAAACATGAATCCTGGTATAATACCCTGGATTCCATAGAAAGCAATAACCATCTTTCACTATTAGTTGTCTATAATCTTCATAAAAAAATGTAATAAACTTCATTTAAAACATAGAAAATCAACGTATTCATGTAAAAAATGGAAGAAAATAAATTTCAGAAATAGAGGGGTTGAGCCTCTATTTTTGTCCTAGGAAAATCAATATATGTTCATTGGACAAAATTTTGAGTTCTTCCATGCTTATATTAGTTCAGATTTTTAAGTCTTCGAGGGTTCAAAACAGTATACATCTTTGATTGGACCCTAACAAATAAGAAAAGTAATAAAAAGAAACTAATATTTTAACTCAAACTCAATAACTTGGTTTAATAATGTGTACTTTATTATTATAACCTCAGAAAGTTAAGAATATTCTAGAGCACCGTGTAAAAAATATCTTGGTGATTAAGTGGGGCGACCCCCTAGTATGAGCACCTTATTGCCTAGGCATCACTCTACATGCTAAGCTACCTTGGTATTATCTGATTGTTATAGTTACATAGTATATCCTAGAGGTAGTCTCTATTTTATATAATAGTGGGTTGTTCTTGTATCATTTGTGTAGCAATAGAAAACATTCCTTCACTAGGTTATTTGGTTTTTCATTTGATTGATAGAAGCATGTTTGTATTTTATTGGATGGTCACAAGAAAGTATTGTGGCCATGTGAACTCATGAAACCAAATCTCCTAGGTTTTATTAGAGGCCACAAGAATATGTGAAATCATCTCACTGGGTGATTAAGTTTATCCTTAGGCTTATATCATGTCTAGGTTTTATTAGAGGCCATAAGAAAGTGTTATGAATATGTGAAATCATCGCTCCACATGTTAGGCTACCTTTTTTTTTTTGATCAATAACACTTTCATTAACTCATCAAAAGAAGATTTACAATAGGAAGGCAAACACGCTTATCTTCCAAGAGCAACAAAGAACCTCAAGAAAAGAAAAAAAGAAAGAAAACACACTATAGTTACAGCTTAGCCCAAAAAAGT